CACTCATTTTAGTGCTTGCAAGTACTAAATAAGCTACCATGGCTCCAAAGAAAGCTCCTAGTGCCAAGCCTGTGGTAAAGAAGGTGAGAAATATGTACAGTGACAAAGTCTTGGGCCATTTTAGGAAAGTGTTAAAGAGACGCCAGAAACAGAGCTCTCTCCACAGTTACTTTGCGAGACAGGACTAGAGTGACTCTCAAGGTGGTCCTAGTGGCATTAAGAAACAGAGAAGAGAAGCAACCCCAGAGAAGTAATTGATACCTGAGGTGTTGCTGGAAGGGGATTCCCCTTCCAAACTGTAAACAATCCAATCTCTCTTCTCCTCCAGTCTCCTATACACTAAGAAGAATCACCAATAAAAGTAAGTGTTACGCTGTTAATGCTTTATTCATCATTTCCCATTGTATTGTTTATGTACTACATGTATATTTCATGTAAAAATTTTTTTTTGTTTTAATACTTCTGGGTGTTAGGAACGGATTTATTGTATTTACATTATTTCTTATGGGGAAAATTGATTCGCAAATCGTAAATTTCGTTTATAGTAACGGCTCCAGGAACATATTAATTACGAAAAACGAGGGACCACTGTATGTGTAATATATATAATATAATATTATAATATATATATATATATAATATATATATATATATTTTATAAAATATATATATATAAATATATTAATATATATATAATATATATATAATATTATATATATAATATATATTATATATATATATATATAATATATCACTCTTCCAGTTGCAACCTTCCAACATTGCATACAAACCCGATGTCCGCACTGGGAAGTGCGACAGTACTTGACCTAAATATTTCCACTCCCCTGTGGGTTGTCTTGCATAGTTAAGATTGCCTGTCTGCGATTGCTTGCATATATATATATATATATATATATTATATTATATATATATATTATATTATATATATATATATATATATTAAAATATATATATATATATATTATATAATTATATATATATATATATATATATATACATAATATAATAATTTTATATATATACATATATATATATATATATATATTTATTTTATATATATATATATAAATTATAATAATATTTTATATATATATATATATATATATAAAATATACAGTGTGACTTTTCCAAACTATTGTTTGGGGACCATGAAATTGACTCGTGTGAGGGCGTGCAACAGGGGGACCCTCTCGCCCCCCTTTCTATTTTGTTTGGTCATCAAGGAAGTCACGGAGGCACTCTCCAGCGAGCTCAATATCTGGTTCCTGGACGACGGTACCCTGGCTGGCACAACAGAATCTCTCCTAGAGGACATCAGTAAAATTAAAGACATGGGAGAAAGCCTGGGCCTTTCTTTAAACCCCACCAAATGTGAAATAGTTTCTACCAATCAACAGATGATCCAGAATATTAGTGCCGCTTTACCAGGAGCACGAGCCATTGATCCAGCCAATAGCACTCTCCTTGGTGCTCCTCTTGGGTCCAATGCCATCGATCTGATCCTAGGAAAAAATGTCTCAGACCTCCAGACGATGGAAAGCAGGATGAAAGACATTGACACACACGATGCCTTCTACCTACTCACCAGGTGCCTGTCAATCCCAAAACTTACCTATTTTCTGAGATGCTCCCCAGCCTTCAGCAGTCCAAAACTCAAGGAATATGACTCTCTCCTGAAGGCCATGCTAGAGAGTGTATTGAATCTTTCCCTTGACGATTGACAGTGGTTGCAAGCCTCAATTCCGGTCAGGCTTGGAGGGCTAGGAGTACGCAGATCCTCCCACATTGCTCTACCAGCTTTCCTATCCTCTTCCATTGCATCAAACGAGTTGATAAGACAAATTCTTCCTGACACCCTCAGTGACTCAGCAGGAATAGAAGACCCTAGCTATGCCAGTGCCATCACCGAATGGGAGACTCTTGCTGCTCCAGCACCAAACCCTAGTGCAGCACTGGCTCACAAACAGTCAAGCTGGGATGGCCCAATTGCTGAAAAGGTGCTTGCTAACATGCTCAGGGCTGCAACATCAGATAGGGAGATTGCCCGTCTCCAGGCTGTGAGTGCACCTCATTCCGGGGACTTCCTCCAAACAGTTCCCATATCGGCAATGGGAACGCGACTCGACCCTAAGACCCTCCTTATTGCAGTGGCTCTGCGCCTTGCTGCCCCAATTCACACAGACTATATGTGTATTTGCGGCGAAGTGCAAGCAGACCAGTACGGTCTACATGGTCTTAACTGTTCCAAAACCAAGGGCTGGCATGCAAGACACAATGAGGTCAACGACATCATTAAGAGAACCCTTGCTACAGCTGGATGCCCTGCCGAGAGGAAGCCACGATCGCTTGCAGCAAACAATACCCACAACCCAGCAAACCGCCCCGACGGGATCACCATCTATCCTTGGAAGAATGGCAAGCTCTTAGCATGGGACTATACCTGTGTGTCCACACTGGCTGACACCTATATCCATCACATGTGGGGCGACAGGGAGGAGCTGCTGACCACAGGGAGGAGTACAAGATCAGCAAGTACAGGGACATTAGCCAACAGTATCAATTTGTCCCAGTGGGATCAGAGACCTTGGGATCATTGGGAAAAAATGCCACACGTTTCCTTAAAGAATTGGGTTCCAGACTCATCGACACCACCAGGGACCCATAGGGCAGCCGCTTTCATGTTCCAGCGCCTCAGCGTCGCCATCCAGAGGGGAAATGCTTGCTGCATACTTGGCTCACGTCCAGCCTCGGAGGAGCTGGAGGAAATTCATGATCTTTGATACATTGTGCCATTGTATTCATGTTTATGTTTTTTTCTGTAAATGTATTTTGTTTATTAATAAATGTTCACATAGAATAAAAAATATATAGGGGGTGGTAGGAGAAGCAAATATTCAAACAGCTCCGGGGAGAACCTTGAGTTTTCCCTGAGGTACGTTTATTGTCTTCTCTGAGGATGAGGGTCCCCATTCCAGCTATAGAGGTGGTACTTCCCTACATATAAATATATATATTATATATATATATATATATAATATATAAATATTATATATATATATATATATATATAATATATTATATATAATATATATATATATGTATATATACATATATATATATATATATATATATATATATATATATATATATATATATATATAATATATATATATTATATAATATATATATACACACACTGTGACTAACCGAGGATTTGAGCCCATGTCGTTTTGGCTCCCCTCATGGTGAGCGAAAATCACACATGACTCTAACCCACAGGACCACGCAATCCTACAAGAACAGAGCACCCAGTAGACCTAGGTGTTTTACCTTGATCCGAGGACATACGGTGGTGTGGAAGCCTCTGAGCTAATTTCACTCTACTCCCCGTTTGGTGTACTAGACTGCACGAGCAGTATTTTATATTATTGTAACCACAAAAGAGTGGTATTGAATCAATAACAACCCTGTGACTACCCGAGGATTAAAACCCATGTCGTTTTGGCCCGCCTCATGGTGAACGATATAAATATATATATATATTATATATATATATATATATAATATATATATATAATATATATATATATATATATATATATAAATATATATATATTATTATATATATATAATATTATATAATATATGTTGTGCAGAATAAGTAAAACTTGCAATTTTGGCTTAAATAGGAACTTTTTTCTTGTCGAATATGGCAAGCGAAAATTTGTGTGTGCAATAATTTCGCAAAAATTAATCTGTTCCTAACGAAAACAAATATATTTCATTGTGTTTGTTTATTAATAAATTATTGTAAATTTTTCTAAAATATATTTAGTTGTATTAGGCTCAATTAAATTGCGCTTGTTATAATAAGGTTAAGTACGTTTTCTAAGGTTGTTGTCGTACGACAACAATAATTTAGTTTTAAACGAGTTCTTGCTAATTGACTAATTGGTTATTGTCTAATGCATCACTCGAGATGTGACTGATAAGTCATCAAAACAGTTCCATCACAATATATTCAGTCACATTTAAAAATTATTTATATACCTTTATGATGTTGGAAGTTATATCCCAATGTTAATTAATTTATGTATGTATTCATTAATCTGCTTTTATGTAGATTCACAAAATGCACCGGCAATAAATTGTGTCAACGAGTCAACATCGTCGTTGCAAGTTGCGATAATTCATTAATGAAAATATTCTTCAGTCCTCTATTGACTGTGCCTGAGTTGCTAGAGATCACTTCTGCCCAGCAGAGAATATCGGAAATATTTTTTCTCCAGCTGTACAAGAGGACCGTGTCAATAGTAGTGTCAGACGTGTGGAAGATAATGGAGGTGGTGAGTTGCTACTAAGGTATGCATAAGGAGAATGGAGAAGACATGGCGAAATACCCCTAGCTTACATAACGCCACAGGCATCTGCCAACACTAGGCGGCAATGATTTCATGCAGAAATACTAGCCAGATCAGTGTGAGGCTGACACTTTGTATGCGGGTGTGTAGTGACATTTAGTTGTGTAGTGTTTTATTTCTCCTTGTCCAGGTAAGCAGTTTTCTCTGCATTATGTAGCAATGTAGTATACTTTATCTTCTTGTCTTACTGTGAAGGTGTGTAGTACACTTTATCTTCCTGTGTACGTGTGTAAAGTTCTTTATCTCCTTGTCAGGTGTGTAATGTTCTCCGTGTTCTTGTGCAGGTGAAGAGTACTCTCTGAATTCTCCAAGATTATAATATGTATAATAAAAAGGCTCTGGTGCAAAGCCATTCTTAATCAATAGACAACATTTCACTCGAAACACGTCAATACGTCAACTTAACTAATTAATTATGCTCTGATTCAAGTAAAAAATAGTTTATGGATAAAGATTTGCTCTACATATAGTGCCTTTTTTCCATACTTAACGGATAGTGTTTTCTCTCTGTATTTTGCATTCTTTGTGCTGGTGTGATATATAATTTATCTCGTGCAGGGTTCCTGCTATCACCCAGCCAGTCACTGAGTGGCGTATATCTGGCTCCAGCAGTCGACTTCACATGTATACCAAATCCAGATCACAACTTGATTAAAATCTCACCGTAAGTTTACACATATTTTGTTTATTACATATCACACATTAAGTGACATTTCCGACTAATAGGTCTGACATAGATGTAACTACAAAAGTTGTTGAACTGAAATTCATCAGCTACGAGTATTTTTATGTAAACAAGAATTATATATTGCATATATTATATAGGTTTCTGGCTGACACCCAGAGGAAGGACGAATGTTAAATTTCTAGATATGTAAAAATCTTAAAGTCAATTCTAAAGACAAAAAAGAACGACAAAGCCTTTTATTCATTAAGTATTTTATTTATCTTAGTTTTTAATTTCAGTGACTCTTGTAGTTATATGGCGAGCAATACGTCATCAGGAAGCTTGGAGAAGGTAGCCTGCACCGATTTTAACTTTGACACCTCCGTATTCACTTCAACACTAACATCGGAGGTCAGCAACTAAACTATGTTGTAAAATCTGATTTTTTTTATGTAACTGGCATTAATATACATATATATATATATATATAATATATATAATATATATATTTATATATATATATATATATATATATATATATATAAAATATTATATATATTTTATATATATATATATTATATATATAAAATATATATATATTATTGTAACCACGAACGAGTGGCATTGATCAATAAAAACACTGCACTAGCCAAGGACTCGAACCCATGCTGCTTATATATATATATATATATATATATAAATATAAAATATATATATACAATATAGATATATATATATATATATATATATATATATATATATATTTTTATAATAGGGGTCACACTCTGTGTAAATTGTGGACCCATAGCCTCGGAGAAGTGGATAAAAAGGCTTCAAGGAAAATATTTGGATTTCTTCCTGAAGCCATTGAATAATTCCACTTCCCCAACCACCCCATCTTTTAAACATTTTTTTTTTAACCAATAGGGAATATTTATTACATATATATATTACATAATTATATATATTCTAAATATATATATATATATATATATATATATATATATAATATATCTATATATATATATATAATATATATATATATATATATTTATATATATAATATATAATATAAAATGTGTGGTTTAAATAATATGCAGAAAATTCTGAGTGGTGGAAATTGAGAAGTGTGGAGATAATAAATAGCAATTAGGTCAGAGGGCAGAAGAGGGTTTGTTGAGGTGGTTTGGTCATTTTAGAGAGAATGGAATCAAAGTAGAATGACTTGGAAAGCATATAAATCTATAGGGGAAGAAAATTGTAGGGGACGTCCTCTAAAGGGTTGGAAAGAGGGGGTAAAGGAGTTTTGTGGGTGAGGGCTTGGCCTTCCAGCAAGCGTGCATGAGCGTGTTAGATAGGAGTTGAATGGAGACGAATGATCTTGGGGACCTGACGATTGTTGGAAGTGGTGGCAGGATAATATTTAGTGAAGGGATTCATGAAACCGTTTTTTTTCATATAGTCGGACTTGAGTCCTGGAAAAGGGAAGTACAAATGCCTGCACTTTAAAAGTAGGGGTTTGGGATATATGGCAGTTTGGAGGGATCTGTTGTGTATCTCTATACATATTCTTCTAATGCTGTTATATGCTGAGCACCTCTGCAAAGCAGTGATACATGTGTGAGTGTGGTGAAAGTGTTGAATGATGTTGAAAGTATTTATCTTATGGGGATTTTTCTTTCTTTTTTTTTTGGGTCACCCTGCCTCGTGGAACGACCGACTTGTTTGAAACAAAAAAAAAAGAAAATATATAATATATATATATATAATATATATATATATATATATAATAAATATATATATATATAATATATAGGTTAGGTTACAACATCAACCACCCAGGGAAGTACTACCGTCCTGCCAGTGACTGTGAAACAGAAACCTGTACTGTATTGCATGATGTGAATTGCTTGGTGTCCTTTTCTGTCTCCTAAACACGCTAGATAACAGGATATCTTGCACTCCTACTTACACTTTGTCACACTTCACAGACACCACATGCATGTATATATAAGACAATCTAGGTTTTTCACCTTTTTCTAAATAGCTCTTTATTGCTTCTTATTTATTCTATGTCCCATGGGGAAGTGGAACAAATCTTTCCACCGTAAGCCAGGCGTGTTGTATGATGCGACTAAAAACCGGGAGCAATGGGCTATAACCCCTTCTTCCTGTAGACATTTACTAAAAAAGAGAAGAAAAACTTTATGAAACTGGGATGCTTGAATGTGCGTGATGTAGTGCGGAAGACAAAAACAGATGATTGCTTGAGGTTATGAATGAAAAGAAGTTGGATGTCCGGCCAAAGCGAAACAAAGCAGTAGGGTAGTAAGGGAGTTTCGGTGGGGGGAAATAAAAGGGATTAAATCTGTAGTATCTGAGAGAGTTAGAGCTAAGGAAGGGGAAGCCGTAATGTTAACTATCTGTTTATGGAAGGAGAAAAAAAAAAAAAAGAAAAAAAAAGAAATATGAATGTGAGAATCAAGCTTATGTGGGTTTAAAAAACAAAGGTTGGTGCGAAAAAATGGGTCAATAATATGCGTGTATGCACCTGGAAGAAGGAGGAATGTAAGGATAGAGAGAGATATGGGAGATGTAAAGTGAATGTATAGGAACCTTTGAACCAAATGATAGAGTAATTGTGGTAGGGGACCATGAATGCTAAAGTAGGAGAAACTTTTAGAGAGGTTGTGGTAGATAAGTTTGGGGCGCCCAGGTGTAAATGAAATGGGAGCCCTTTGATTGGAACTTCGTATAGAAAGGGGTTTATTATAGGCCAATGCATATTTTAAGAAAAGAGGTAAATAAAGTATACAAGAATATGGTGTATGGCGAAATGACAGTAGTTTGTTGGATTATGTATTGGAAGATAAAAGCTGCGAGTAGACTTCATGATGTACATGTTTACAGAGGGGCCACAGAATATATCAGACACTTTTTTAGTTGTAGCTGCACTGAGATTAATAGGAAAAAGGTGGTACAAGGATAATAGAAAGCATCCGGGAAGAGAGAGGTGAAGATTTAAAAATTAAAAGAGGAAGGCAGTTAGGGGTAAGATATAAACAGCTATTGGAGGACAGATGGGCTAATGAGAGCATAATCAATAGAGTCGAAGATGTATGGGGCAGGTTTAAACATGTAGTGTTAGAGTGTTCAGCAGAAGTTTGTGGTTACAGGAAAGTGGGTGCGGGAGGGAAGAGGAGCGATTGGTGGAATGATGATGTAAAGTAGAAGTGATGCAAGGAGGGAAGAGTATATGGAGAAAAAGAGAGAGGTTAAGAGAGTGGTGAAGCAATGTAAAAAGAGAGCAAATGAGAGAATGGGTGAGATGTTATCAACAAATTTTGTTGAAAATAAGAAAAAGTTTTGGAGTGAGATTAACAATTTAAGGAAGCCTAGAGAACAAATGGATTTGTCAGTTAAAAATGGGAGAGGAGAGTTATTAAATGGAGAGTTAGAGGTATTGGGAAGATGGGTGGAATATTTTGAGGAATTGTTAAATGTTGATGAAGATAGGGAAGCTGTGATTTCGTGTATAGGGCAAGGAGGAATAACATCTTGTAGGAGTGAGGAAGAGCCATTTGTGAGTGTGGGGGAAGTTCGTGATGCAGTAGGTAAAATGAAAGGGGGTAAGGCAGCCGGGATTGATGGTATAAAGATAGAAATGTTAAAAGCAGGTGGGGATATAGTTTTGGAGTGGTTGGTGCAATTATTTAATAAATGTATGGAAGAGGGTAAGGTACCTAGGGATTGGCAGAGAGCATGCATAGTTCCTTTGTATAAAGGCAAAGGGGACAAAAAGAGTGCAAAAATTGTAGGGGGATAAGTCTGCTGAGTATACCTGGCAAAGTGTATGGTAGAGTTATTATTGAAAGAATTAAGAGTAAGACGGAGAATAGGATAGCAGATGAACAAGGAGGCTTTAGGAAAGGTAGGGGGTGTGTGGACCAGGTGTTTACAGTGAAACATATAAGTGAACAGTATTTAGATAAGGCTAAAGAGGTTTTTGTGGCATTTATGTATATGGAAAAGACGTATGACTGGGTGGATAGGGGGGCAATGTGGCAGATGTGGCAGATCTGCTCAAGACACATTCCACTAAGAAAGAGAAAGTGAAAATGTAAACTAGAAAGAGAGAGATGCTCCCTATGCAGACAAAGGTGAAGAGTCATGTAGCTGCTTAGAGGGGAAAATATATCTGAAATACGAAGGGAGGCACTGGTCAATGAAATTTAACTATCGAATTTAAAGGAAGGAATCTTACAGGAGACAAAAACCCAGGGAGAATAAAACTTAAAGGAAATGAAAAAAAAGATAAAAATGAATTCTTTATGAAAACCCCAAATTTGGTAACCCAAAAAATCTCTGATTTACCCAAACCCCGAAAGATTTAAAAAAGGGAAAATAAAGTAAACCCCCTTGCACTTCCCCCAGGCCCGATCAGGAACGCCATTTTCATCAAGATTGCAAAAAGCACTTTGGGGGTTTGCCTTCACATCTATGGGAGGGAGCATGGACACAGGGGCATCCAACTATAAAAGAAACAGACATACCCCACCCCCTAGGGGAAAAGTAAAGCAATTTGAAAAAAAAATACGACTGATAGCACTAACCCCCCTATCAAAAAAATCTTTGAGGGGTTCTAAGAAGAAAGTCGCCAAAAACCCTAGTCCCCTCAATTACAAAACCCGGGAAACAGGGGTTAGAGCAGGTCGCTCCTGCCTGCACACTGGACCACTATGACAGGTCCTGTATGGGTTGAGGTAAACAAAACACAGATGTAGTATACACAGACTTTGCAAAAGCTTTTGAAAAGGGGTGCCATGGTGTAATTGTACACAATTTTGCGTGAAAAAGGAAAAAAAGGGGAAATTTGGGTAGATGGACTGTAACTTCCCCCAATAGAACATAAAAAATATAGAAAACAGAGTAAATTTCCAGACGCCACTGTAAAAAGTTTTTCCCACAAGGCACAGTACCGCCCCATTTTTCTACCCCCAAATTCGGACATGGACGGGGTTTTGTAAGCCATAGCTCCTGTTTGTTTTGTCGAGCCCCCGGTTTGCCATGGCAGTGCCCTCCATCAAAGACACTGCAAAACTCCAAACCGGACATAACCAATCTCCAAATAGGCCCAAAAACTGAAGACAATGAGGTTAAATTTCAACTATCGATAGGGGAAAAACTTGGGGAAAATTAAAAAAATTTCGTGGGGTATATTACAAATTCTAACCATACAATAGGCGGAAAAGTGATGTGAAGGACCTGGGAGTGAAAATGCGAGGATCTCGCCTTCAAAGACCACCAATGTACTTCCATCTCTAGGAAAATGATAGGAATGGCCCCAACCCCATGATGACCTTTCAAATCGCTTTCTTCTAGGCTGGAATATGTGTATACAAAGGGCCCCCTTCAAGGGGGCA